TTGAGAGAAAGTCTGGTTTTCCGCGTATTATTGGCTCACACCATGATTTCTAATAGAAGAACTCTTAAGATTGACTAGTGCAAAAATAAAATTGATAAATAAATAAATAACCAACCTATAGACACAATGTACATATATGTGAGGTCAATTTGGATACTTTGGAGTTGAGACGGAAAAGTCATAAATCATTTTTACAACGAGGTAGGTACAAAGATGGAAAAGGGCGCTTTCTTGACCAATGCTATACGGAAGAAAATGTTTGTTTTATTAATCTGCTGTTATTCTTTTTTGGGTAGAGCACTCCGGACGTAAACTAGTCCCCCATTTGGATGTTCGAGCGGGACTACCTCGGAGGATGTCATCAATAAGTGCAATAGGGATAGATGCAATATTTCACGAATCGGAGCGTGGAATGTTAGGTAAATGAGGCAAGTTGGAAAATTAGACAATTTAAAAGTAGAGATGGATAGATTAGAATGAGATATTAGTGAAGTCCGTTGGCCCGAAGCTGGAGACTTCTGGAGTGGGAACTTTAGTGTAATACGTACAGGATCGGTAGAAGGTTGTTAAAGGTGTAGATATGTTTGGAGCGCGGCGTTGTAAGGGTGCGAAACATAGACAGTGGGCGCGGCGGAAAAGAAAAGGTTAGAAGCCTTCGAAATGTGGTGTTACAGGCGAATGATGAGGATACCGTGGGTAATAAAGGTTAGAAACGAAGAGATACTAGAAAGAATAGGAGAACAGAGAACTCTATGGAGATCAATAAGAAATAGGCGAGATAGTTTAATAGGATATCTTCTGAGACATGAAGGTCTAGTCAGAGACATATTAAAGGCAGAAACAGGAATTAGGAGGGGTAGAGGTAGACCTAGGTTAGATTACTGTTTTCAAATAGGTAAGGATGTGAGTTGTTCTAGTTTTAGGGAAATGCGAAGATCAGCGCAGGATAGGAAAAAGTGGAGGTACGTGTCCAACCAGTCTTAGGACTGACGACCTTATGATGATGATAATGTTTCCTTTTTGCATCACTAACAATATTAAATTTTGCTAACAACTTATACAACACAGTCAACACAAAACGATAACATTAGTGCCACAGTAAAAACGAAGATCTGTCTGTTGATTTCCAAATTGAACTAATGTGTTTACCAGAGAAGTAACTATTCCTAAATAATAATTAATAAACATCGGTGCATACTTTCAATACAATTACATTAAAAAGTAATCAACAGATTATATATTATATAATAATTGTCCGTATTAATTTCGTTTTTAGAGTTGACGAGGGCACATTTCCTTAACACGACATTTACTGTGTCAGTAATATCATTTTGTGTTGACTGTTGTATAGGTTGTTAGCAAAACTGAATATTGTTACTGACGCAAAAAAGTTTAACGACAGATTAATAAAACAAACTTTTTTTTCTTAACGCTACGTAATTTTTGGGGAAGCCACTGCAAATGTCATAATCGATTCCATCTGAATCGAATTGTATCGTATTAGTAGAGAAAGTTTCCTTTTCCATCTTTGGACCTACCCCATTGTAAAAATGATTTATGACTTTTCCGTTTCGACTCGGCGAAAGATCTATATTCTATATTTAAGTAATTGCCCATTCACACATCTTTACAAGTTCTAATAATATCCAGATAAGTAATTTGATAATAAAAAGGTAGGTATCGATCATAAAAGAAAACCCTAATAAGTATTTCTTACTATAAAAAGTTACAAAAATGAAATACAATAGCTTTTAGAAATGTTTAAATCTAATCATAACAAAATATCTAGCATGACTCGAGATAAAAATGTTAAGTCTCTCAGAGTCTCTGAAAGCGAGACTCGAGTCTCTGTCTCTCATCGAGTCTCTCTGGTGTCGCTGAGAGAGACTGTCAACAAAATTGTTTAGGGTCTCCAAACGATAGACTCGAGTCGCTCATAGAGAGATCCTCATTTCGTATCCAGTCTCTGAACGAGAGACTAGAGTCGTTCATAGAGAGATCCTCATTTCGTATCCAGTCTCTGAACGAGAGACTAGAGTCGTTCATAGAGAGATCCTCATTTCGTATCCAGTCTCTGAACGAGAGACTCGAATCTCACAATAAGTGGTGTCTCGATAGACATGGTTAAAATTTTCTAAGTTCAACATATTTCAGAGATCCCAGTCTTTCTACGAGAGACTCGGGTGTCTCAATTTTTCAGTTTTATTCATTTAGTCTCTCTGTGAGAGACTCGAATCTCTGAATTAACAATTTTATCGTACGAGTCTCTCATACAGAGACTGTGAGAGATCCATAAAAACACCTATGCAATAACTGAGAGACTGTGAAAGACTGTGAGAGACGCGCTCAGAGACGCTGAAAGACTCTGAAAGAGTCTGAGAGACTGGAGAGAGGGTGAAAATTTTTGTCTAGGGGAGTAAGTATGTATCATAACTTACATACTACATGCATACGTATAGATGGCATAGTCTGCAATAAAACTGCCATATTTACTTCCGTCTTTCAACTTACTGACTAGACTAGAGCGGTTGCTGACTGAACACCTGCTTTTATTCACGAAAGACGTAGGGAATAACGTAAACATAGAAAAGAGATGTCAGGTAGGAATTGCAGCGGACACTAATAAAGAAAAAGGAAAAACATTACACCAATTAATGTGTAATAGAAAGAGATGCAGACAAGCAGAATATAAACATATTGCCAGCATCGGACTTTAAAGGACGTTCAACATTCTCAGGAATTTGGGAATGCTCTTTCAAAGATATAATTCCAATCGGGCAGTTATAAAGCCAACCCTGAGCTTTTGCGTACCTAAGCAACCTCTAACCGCTGCATCGCTTACTATTATTCGGTTATCTCTTTTCACTTTGTCTGTACTACTCATGAAGCATTTCCTAACTTAAAAAGGGCGTGTTCAAAACGCAGCAAATGATTACACCCAAAGTGGAAGAAAGAAAGAAGATACGTCCGTTCTCACAGATAATTTATAGCGGACTTTGCCAATTTTGATCGTTCCAACTATAGATAGATATGTGTGCGCTTTAGAGTTATGCTGAGAAAGTTGTTTAATTTGAACTCCAACAATGTCGCAAAATGTTTCGAACTATTCTGGTTTAATAACGATTGAATATTCAACCAGAGCTCAATATCGATAGAATAATAATAATAATAATAATAATTAGATATTACAGTATCTTTGAGGTGGTCAGCATTGATGTTCTGTACTTTATGTCCGATCGTGCTAAATTTAGCATCCCTGGTCGATAACTATGCAATCAAAATAGATGGCGACTGGGATAAATACATAAGACGGAGTGAAGCGAAGAGAGGAAGGATCGGAGAATGCTTGCTTGCATTCGAAATCGGTCGAATTGTAATTTTAGCTGGTGAAATGCGATCCTGTGTTAGAGAACTGCAATGCTACGAACTGCTAAAGTAGTACGCCAGCTAGCTCCTTAAGGAATAAGGGAAATTGTAGGTGAAATCACTTTCAACGAGACACTTAGGTATTGTTTGGTATAAAACGATAAAATTTCGTTCGATTTTTATACGCCGCTCTGGAACTCGTTTTAATACGGGATTTATTTAATCGACGATGCTATTAGGAGAAAATCTACTAAAATCAAATCAATTTCTCATTACATACTTCTCATAATACATCTGTAAACATTAGAATTGTACAATAGCTTTGATGCTGAGTGATCAGTTTTTAGTATCAGATTAAGTCATGCACATGTTATATCAGAAATATTTTTCTCCATGAAATCTAACACAAGCAAATTAAAAAGTTTTATCTTTTGTTGAGCTTAAACACGTTGTTCTGTATAATTCACTAAAATTTTAAGAGAAAGAACAGAAAGTGTTCGAATGGAAAATTAAATTAGTAAAATAATTCGAAGTGGTCTGTTATCTGTCGACACTGCCAGACGCGGATCGCGATTTCGATCTTTTTGGATCTCCTCAGCGCGTCGCAGGCAGCTCCGACAGAACACAGACCAACTTTTACCTGCCGTCTTAACAGTGCGTTTTAGAAAATACTACAAATGGCGCAGTAAACGCCATCTGTTTTCGGGATTCGTTTTCAGCAAGTAGATATCTGCACAAGTGGACCTTGTTGGAGCATATGTAATCCTAAAATGTAGCATCGTGCTACAGATGGCGTTTACTGCGCCATTTGTAGTATTTTAAAACGCACTGTTAAGACAACATGTAAAAGTTGGTCTGTGTTCTGTCGGAGCTGCCTGCGATGCGCTGATGAGATCCAAAAATATCGAAATCGCGATCCGCGTCTGGCAGTTTCGACAGAATAGAGACCACTTCGAATTATTTTATTCGATTAAGCTAACGTGCCTATCACGTTGAGGTTGGCTACGCCGGGATTCGTTTTCAGCAAGTAGATATCCACACAAGTGGACCTTGTTGGAGCATACGTAATCCTAAAATGTAGTATCGTGCTACAGATGGCGTTCACGGCGCCATTTGTAATATTTTCTAAAACGCATAATTATATTAGTCTTTTTACTACCTACAAATTAACGTACCCCATTGTTGTGTGGGAATTCAAATCAAATATTTATACAGAAAATATTCTTTAATAAATGTATAATTAACAAAAAAATTATTGAAAGATATTCTTTTCTTTTTCTGTTCCCATCGTTAAGCATTATATGCTTCTCTGAATCTTTTGTTTTTACTATGACATCTTCTCTGTAAGCTTCCGAAATCTGCGTCAGATCTTTTATTAAGTTTGATACAAAGCTGCATTGTAAACAACTATATGTATTTACCTGCGTTCTTTATCGTAACTCTCGACGTTATCACTAAACTTTTTTTCACTCTGACCCGAATCGGCATCCCGCACGAACGCCATTTTATCTAAAGAACTTTCCCTTCGTACAACTTGACTTGGAAAAATCATTCGCGATAATTATTGAACAAACCCTGTATTCCAATCGTACGTGGCTACATCTATAGATTAATAATTTAAAAGCGTCACTCACCTCGATAGAGAGTCGTGGGATCGAGTCGGCTTCGTTGGAAGTTGGGGAATTGCTTTTGAGAATTTCAGTGTCGCGGTACCAAGAGATGGTCCCTAGGTCATGCGGTCCTTGGTTTATTGTGCAAGTGATAGTCACAGAACTGCCCGCCTTGACATGCAAATCTCCTGGGCCCAGAATCCGAGCTCTTGCTTCTGAAAGCCGTCGTTTACAGAAATTAATGGCGTACCTAACGTTAAGATGGCCTGCTTCGCTCTATACGTATGCATGTAATTGCCACTGCATTAGACAATGTTTCGTTACTTTGTCGTTATGTTCGTGTAAACGTATTGTAATAACAAATAGATAAAATAAACAGGTTTATCATAGATTAAATGTAAACTGATTAAGGTAACTAATGCTTATAGAAAGAAAAATTAAGCGAATGAAAATGGCATTTAATCTCCTTATCAAAATAAGCATTTAATAATTGAATTGGAACAAAATACTAAAACAAAACAAACTTTTAACAGGATCATACTGTTGGTAATCGGAACATACCGATGCTACTAATACTTTTTAGCATTACAACTAGGTATCTATTATTTCTCATTTTAGTTTCACATATCAATTTTTAATCAATTTAGTTATAATAGGTAATACCCATTTTTGTATAATTGAATATTTGCTCACGCCCAAATATACTGTGGGGTCATTTAATTATTATTCCTTCCCCTTTTTCTAGTAATTTAGGTGGTGATTATTACGAGTTATACCCTCTTTCTTCGAAAATGTGGGCGTTTTTATGGTTATTTGTTCTATTACTTCCTACATAGTATTAATGACAACGCAGATGTCATATATGCCACTGGTATCACGTAAATCATTCTAGTACTAGTAATTAAGTGTGAAGATATTGGTTAATTTGGTGAAAAGGCTTTCATCATTAGTTAGATGAGGCATATATCATGGAATTCTGATGAAACAATTACAGTAACATATTATATCTTTACAGAAAGAGGGTAGTCCATCTCTCATCTATTGCAAATATTTGAAATACTGTCACTAATTTTATATTATAGAAATTAATAGGCAATAATATACGTATAACGCCAGGGGATTTTCGCTTGGGGGGGGGGGTTGTATATACACTTAATACTAAACCCGAGATAAAAATGTTCAGTCTCTCAGAGTCTCTGAAAGCGAGACTCGAGTCTCCGTCTTTCATCGAGTCTCTGGTGTCGCTGAGAGAGACTGTAAAAAAAAACTGTTTAGCGTCTCTGAACGAGTCTCGAGTTGCTGATAGGGAGATCCTCATTTCGTATCCAGTCTCTCAATAAGTGGTGTCTCGATAGACATGGTTAAAATTTTCTAAGTTCAACATAATCCTGAGATTCCAGTCTTTCTTCGAAAGACTAAAGTCCCTCAATTTTTCAGTTTTATTCATTCAGTCTCTCTGTGAGAGACTCGAATATCTGAATTAACAATTTTATCGTTCGAGTCTCTCATACAAAGACTGTGAGAGACGATCTCAGAGACGCTGAAAGACTCTGAAATACTCTGAGAGGCAGGAGAGAGACTGAATATTTTTGTCTAGGGAAGGTAACAATGTGTTTCATAATTAAAACCAAAATAAAATAATTTATGGCATATTTTAGACTGACTGAAAAATTAAATAGTAGGTGTTACTATTTCAAGTATAATATTTTCCTATATATATTCATTATTTTTGTTTGTTTTGAACCCGATAGAGGTTGAATCGATATTTGGTTCTCTCTTTTGTATACCGATTTTTATTGAAGAAAATTCTGAATTTTTTTTGTGTTAATCTTGTAAATTAAGGGAGAGTTCTAACCAATTCGAATGTTACAAAAATCTTCATTAACTGATTGTAAACTTCTTTCTTGGACTCATTTCTATTCTGTTGTCAGTCACGATTGCCCAATGAAGTCATCTTGATAGAGATGTTGACAAAAAATAACAGCGGATCTTTCAGAAGACACAAACTCCAAGAATCGTTCCAAAATTTGAATAAATCAAAATGCGTTTATCTAAAGCTTCCCATATTGTCTATTAAATGTGATGTGTTTTGAAGATAGCATCGAAAGTATTAATACGACTATAACATTTTGTAAATAGACGGGATGAGATAGAGTTGATCCCTATCTCTTCCGAGTTATGTGAGATGATACCCATCTCACAGCTCTTCGCAGCATCGCAGAATTTCATTATAGCACGGTCTAGTATGCTGTGTCGGTCGGTGGTAAAGTTGAGTCGACTTCACGGTGAGCAAGTTGAACACAGCACGTGCTATAACTCATTACGACCTGGTAACGTACTAGAGAAAATAATTTAGCTCGCAAGTAACGCCCGTGAAATGAGAATGGAGATGGAGCAGAGATGTTGCTGCTGTAGCTAGAAGCGTTTAGAATCGCCAAACGTATTACTCGTTTTGAGGAAAGTTAGTTAATTCGGTTAGCATTTCGGGATAAATAAGGAGAATTCTTAATTTCGTATGTAGGTACACAATTATTTAATAGACGTCGATCTCTTTGGTTTAGTTTTTATGATCTACTAAAGGTATTTCAAAACTTTAAGATACAAATAAATTTTGAAGCAGTTTCCTAAAGGTGTATGAGTTCTATTAATTAAAAAAGAAACAGTATCTGTGTTCTCTAAACTTTTGAAAATAAGGTCGAAATTAGACATGTCAGGTACGCGGACCTTCCATTAAATGCCACCCTCGAGAACGTTCCCGTTAATAAAGTTGCTTAACCACTAAACCATTGTCATTTTGATTTTTGGTTGACGCATTTTAACGAGACGGTTGGGTTGAAACCGTTGAGACGAGCCTATAATGTTTATAAACGCTAAAAGTCTGCAAGGTGGCAAAATTGTGACCGCAGATACCGTTTATGAAAACCTGATATAAGTAGGTACTAACAAGCAACAGAAATTGTAACAGTTAGGCCATACTGATGTACGAGGGCGGTTCAATAAGTACCCGTGTTTGAAGACAGAGGAAGTTCCTGAGAGATGGCGTTATCATTGTGTGCTGCTATCTATCAAAACAAATTTCAGACTAATTGATAGGTTAATTTGGATTTGGCAGCCATTCGAATGAGATGTGTTCAGAGATTTTCGCTAAGACTGAAGAAGAGCAATATCGTTCAGGAACTCGCTTTTTATGTTTGGATGGGAAAAAATTCGACGAGATAAAAGCAAAGTTGGATGCTGATTAAAGGGAAACTTCGCCATCTATGACCACAGTTAGATATTGTTTTGACGAATTTAAACGTGAGCGAACATCTGTTTTTGATGAGGATCGACCAGGACGCCCGGCAGACGTGGTTACCGAGGAATTCATTGAAAAAGTCCACATGATTCACGCTGATCGACGAATGAAAGTGCACGAAGTAGCAAAGGTCGTAGGTGTGTCGATCGGAAGGGCAATTCATATTTTACATGATAAGTTGGCGTTCAAAAAATTGTCGGCCCGAGGAGTGCTGCGATTGCTCACGGTGGACAACAAGTGGAAGCAGTGTTTTGAGTAATTTAAGCGAGATCCGAAGAACCTTTTGCGCCGAGTTGTCACCGTTGATGAAACTTGGATTCATCATTACACACCAGAAACCAAGAAATAATCAAAACAATGGATTTCTCCCGGTGAATCTGCTCCAAGAAAGCAAAGACTGGAAAGGCTATGGCGACGATATTTTGGGATGCGAAGGGCGTCATCTTTACGGATTTTTTTAGAAAAAGGAAGAACAATCCCTGGACAATACTACAGTGAGTTATTGGACCGCTTCGACAAAAAATTGAAGGAGACATGGTCTCATTTGGCAAAACTGAAGGTGCTTTTTCACCACGATAACGTTCCAGCACATTCATCCGGAGTTGTTCCCGCCAAAGTACCTATATCAATTGCTACCGCACCCCCTGTATTCACCGATCTGGCTTCCTGCGACTTCTTCTTGTTCCCTAACATGAAGAAATAACTCGCGGGAAAAAATTTTGCTCAAACGAGGAGGTCATCGCCGAGACAGGGGCGTATTTTGGAGAGTTCGACAAATCTTATTTTTTGGAGGGGTTAAAAAATGGCAGGAATGTTGGGAGAAGTGTATCTTTCTAAAAGGGGACTATGTTGAAAAACAAAAAAAAAATTGAAAAAATGATGTCTTCTTTTGTAACATGTGTACTTATTGAACCGCCTCCGTATTCTTGTTTATGAGAGAAAGTAAACACAAGAATTATATCGAAATAACAAATAGTTTGGTATAGTAATCAATAAATAATATAAATTAGGACAAATGATCTACCCCAATACAATCTCAATTATCAATTTTCACTAGGTAGGTTTTTTGTACTTATGACAACGTCGGGTACTCGACGTCTTTATCCGGTATCCGGCCGGATCCTAACAAAGGTAATTCTGTTATCTGGTCTTGCTTCTATACCTCTGCATCCTTTAGTTCTGGTCTCGCTATTATGTAGATATATGCAAAGTACTGGTCAATATCGACATCGGCACTAACTTGAATTTATTCATGGCACTAATACCGAAAGTATTAAATTAATTAAGTACATAATTCACATGATAATGCGACGAATTTGGCCCTATCAAATTACGATACATATATTAATTGAGAAATGTGAAGATACAGGATTTTTCTGCTTGATAAATATCATCAGAACGACAGATACATCCTATGTTTAATAAGTTAAGCGTCCTGTTTAATGACCATGTAAATTCTGGAACTTAATTTGCAGGACTGATCATGATTAACCGCTTTACGATTATTCTCTTAATCTTAATTAGTGATAATAACCGTTAACCGTTCAGTATATAATTTGGCAATATAGCATAGACATGCTTGTTATTTAATAAGGAAACGGTCAGGTATCACGTAACCACTTTTAGGAAAAGGGGATGTTTGTCGTGAAATCACGAGCAGTATTTTCTCAAATTGTTGATTTAACGGAGTAAATGAAACTCGATATAAAACTCTATATTTACTAATGAATTATTAACTATGAAATTACAACTACAGGCACAACGAAGAAAATATGAATTAAAAACGGAAGTTAACAAGAAGAAGGACAAAACATAACTGACTCTAAATTATGTGACAAAATCAAAAATTGTTCTGATGCCACCACCAATAAATACTTGGTATGCAACAAAAGAATTTTTTTTTAATGTTTTCGTGGAAGA